GGACCCTGACTGGGGATTGAACCTGCAACCTACATATATGCCCTGACCAGGAGTGGAACCCATCACCTTTTGGTGTATAGGACAATACTCCAACCAACTGAGCCACCTGGCCAGGGCTGTTGTCCTAATTTATATGCACTATTATTTCTTTGAATTTGGAGCGATAACTATACACTAGTCCAAGCTTTTTTTTTCTTGTCTCATAAACACCAAGGAGTTTGTGCCACATGAAATATATAGAAAGATACCACCTGAGTGAAGGACTAAGGATATTCAACAACCATGAAGACTGGTGCAACTTCATACTAGAATATTTTAGAAATCTCTGTGAGCACTAAAGAATTGCATAATAATCATAACTTTGAGAACTGCAAGATTTTGCTTTGTAAATTTTAGTCTCAAGTTACTGGATTTTGGGGGATGATGATTTAGGAGTACATAGAAAATAGAAGGTTAAGACTGGACAAAGATTACTCAGAAAGTGGGAAGCAGAGATGAAAGGGAGTGTGTACCTCTGGTTGGATTTCATCAGCATTCAAATCTGCATGCCTCTGTGTATCTTATTAACATGGCATCTGAGTATGGTTCTTTAATAGTAAAGAATTATCAGTAATTGAAAACCACTTGTTTTTTGGCCTTTCTCCTAACCTTTTTTCCCTTTATATTTAGCATTTCTTTACTGTGTATGCTAAGAATTGTAAAAGTATTGTGGAATTAGGTAGTGATGATAAAAGCAGGTGATACCTCTAGTGTGATTCTCTTTGGTATATTCATTCCAGTCAGAAGAAAAAAGGTTAGTTTTTGGCAACCATACTTCACTCTCCCTCCTCCTGATCAGCTTGGCTATGATGTTTATTTTGATTCAAGTTGTTGTAGATTATATAGTAATTAGGCTGTCAGCTATTTAATAGGCTTGTTTTCCCCAACTTGGCTTTTTGCCTATTCTTGAAGCAACCAAATCTTATTTTCTTTGAACTTAGAAACACAACTGAATAAAACTATTGTTAACCAATATTATATACAATTAGACTCATAAGCTTAACATTCAATGTTTATAATTCCTAGAATAATCGAATTTGAATCATAAGGACCTTAAATAAGTCATTTAGTGTACTAGATTTGTCATGTCTAAATTTGTTTTTGTTAAGTTTTATGACAGTAAAATAGACTCTATCCAGTGCATGTATGAATTGAGTCTTATTTGTCTTACCCTTAATTTGCCTCAGACTTCATTTTAACATCTTTCAGAATTTCATAGACTTCAATCATGTCCTTATTACTCTACAGAAAGTTCTAACTCCTTTCCTTGTTGTTTTTTGTTGTTGTTGTTAATCCTCTCCTAAGGATATTTTTTTCCATTGATTTTTAGAGGAGTGGAAGGGAGAGGGGAGGGGCGGAGAAAGAGGAGAGAGAGAAACATCTATTGATTGCCTCCTGCATGTTCCCCAACGAGGGCTGCAATCAAACTGTAACCCAGGTACATGCCCTTGACTAGGAATTGAACCTGCGACTCTTCACTGTGGGCGCAACACTCTAACCACTTAGCCACACTGGGTAGGGTGCTAAAAGTTTTCATTTCTTTTGATTCTACTTTCCTTACAAATAGTTCTGGTCCCCCAGCCCCTCCACCTACAGTTTTTATTTTATTTTAATTGCCTCGTTTTAGACAATCTCCAGTCAATGTACTCGGCTTGAGACCTACTGACCAGAAGAATACCATACATGTTGTTCATGCATGGGTTCATCATTAATGATTTTGAGTTTTATTTCCAATGTCCTTCAGGTTGTTACCTGATACTTTGTTTGTTGCTTTGGCTCTGGAAGCATATTAAGAATAGCAACCTTAGCCAAACTGGCATGGCTCAGCAGTTGAGCGTCAACCTAAGTACCAGAAGGTCCCGTTTCGATTCCAGTCAGGGCACATGCCCGGGTTGTGGGCTCAATCCCCGGTGTGTGGTGTGTAGGAGGTAGCTGATCAACGATTTTCTCTCATCATTGATGTTTCTATCTCTCTCTCTCCCTTTCTTTCTGAAATTAATTTAAAATATATATATATATTTTTAAAAAAACCTTTTCTGCCCTGTATCTGATAGCTTGGACCACATCTTTCGGCATATTTTAGATTACTTACATTTGCCAGTATAGAACTGGATCTGCCACTTTTCTGCCCATTTATACAACTTTCAGCTCTTCCTATATATTTTCTGCTATCAGCTTGGCCCTTAAGTAGCCAGAATTGCTTTAGAAATTTAGTAATGTTTCTAAATATTGCTCAAATATTAACATCATTAGTGAAGTTGACAATTTCTGATTATAAATTTTTTTAAAATTTATAACTCTCTTAAATAAGACTGTTCTAGAACTAGTGTTTAAACTTTACAATCCAGAGATTTGCTCATTTATCCTAATATTCTGTTTTCTTGTCTTCATCTATAATGCAGAACAATTCCTTTTGTCCCATACCTCTCAAGACCCTTGTCAGAAATCTTTTAAATATAATTTCATTTAGTTTACAAAACTAAATAGATTTTCCCCTCATTTTATATTTATTTTAAGCATTAATCAAAACACTATTTTGGAAATATGAAACTATTTGGAAAATTTTTAAAGAGGTAATGATTGCCTTAGAGCAGCGGTTCTCAACCTGTGGGTCGCTGTGGGTCGCGACCCCTTTGGCAGTCGAATGACCCTTTCACAGGGGTCGCGTAAGACCATCCTGCATATCAGATATTTACATTACAATTCATAACAGTAGCAACATTACAGTTATGAAGTAGCAATGAAAATAATTTTATGGTTGGTTCACAACATGCAGAACTGTATTTAAAGGGCCAGAAGGTTGAGAACCACTGCCTTAGAGACTCATGTGCATTTCTTGTCTTTTTTTTTCTTTTGAATTACTGCATTGACAATAAGGGCTCTAGGAGTAGGTCCATCCTTTGGATTTCAGTTCTCATTTTTTGTATCCAGGTTGTCAAAAGCTTATTTTGTCCTAAATTTTTAACTTCTCAATTCTTGTTTCCCATTCTCTTTTCTGCCCAATATATCATCTCAGGAGTTCTATACTTTTTAAAAATGTCAAGAGCTAATCCATTCCAATATGTTAATGAGAAAATGCTTTCATTTCACCGTAGCCAGAATTGACCATTTCTGAGCCTTTTTTTGATGCTGCTGTTGATTATAAATACCACTATTCTAAGGGCCAAGCCTATTCTAAGCACTTCATATATATTCACCTAACTCTGACAGTAATCCAGTGAGGTAGATACTATTATTCTTTTCCTGTTTTGTTTTTGAGAAAATTGAAGCAGAACCCTGGCTGGATAGTTTGGTTAGAGCATCATCCCATGCACCAAAGGGTCACAGGTTCGATTCCCAGTCAAGGCACATCCCAAGGTTCCAGATTTAATCCCTGGTTGATCCATGTTTCTCTCTCACATATCTCTCTCTCTCTCTCTCTCTCATCAATGAAAAATACATCCTCAGGTAAGGATTAAAAAAAGAAAATTGAAGCAAAGAGAAATGAGGTAACTTGCCCCAAATCACATAGTTAAAAAATGTTAAGAGTCAGGATTTGAATAAAAAAGTCAGTTTCAAATAACACTTAATCCTGTTATATATTTTAAATGGCAATATGTTTGGTATTATTTTCCAAATACCGAATACAAATGTTTGTCTTAAATTTTTCATCTTCAATATATCAGACAAAATGTGTACACAAAATGATAAATAGGAAGTGTGTAGTAATAGAATTTTTATTCATGATACTAGATTCCTTTTTATAAAGAGTTCAAAGTGTGCTTAGTTTGCTTCAGGAAGCTAAAACTGCCATATATTCATTGAGTCATCAAATATTTATTCAGTACCTAACAAGTGATAGGCACTATTCTAGGTACATGGGATATATCACTGAATAAAAAAGATGAATATCTGTTGTGGGGGACCTACATGCTGGGAAAGAGGGTGCTAAAGACAATAGTCAGGAGTTACTTATGATGTTAGAAAATCATTGCTCTGGGAAAAGATAGAGCATTGGGAATATAGAGGTGAATTCAAAGAAGATGATGTTTGAGTAAAGACTTGAAAGATGTAAGGGAATTAGATGTAAGTGTCCCAGGTAGAGGCCAGAGGCAGTACAAAGGCTCTAAGGTAGAACTGTGTGTGGTGTGTACAGGAATACCATGGAAGCCACTCTGGCTGGAGCAGAATGAGCAAGGGGAAGGAAAAGACGTAGTAGGTGGGCAAGAGGGGTTCAAGATAATGGAGGGCCTTATACACCATTGTAAAGTATCTGGCTTTTCCTCTGAGCAAAGTGAGGAGCCATGTCTTGATTTCCTGTTATGACAGCTACTATACCTGGTCTTTCATAGACATTATTTCATACTAGAGGCCCAGTGCACGGATTTGTGCACCGGTGGGGTCCGTCAGCTTGGCCTGCACCCTCTCACAATCTGGACCCCTCAGGGGGTGTCGGATAGCCGGTTTCGGCCCAATCCCCACAGGCCCGATCTAGACAGGAGGGAGCCCGATCCTGTGCGTTGAGCATCTGTCCCCTGGTGGTCAGTGCACCTCATAGCAACCGGTTGACCAGTCTTTCAGTCATTCGGTCGCTTGGGCCTTTATATATATAGATGCTCTTATCCAGAGTCCTAGAAGGTAGATGCTTTTATCGCCCCATTTTATAGAAGCAGGTACTGAAGTTTAGAGACTGAATATCCTGACCAAGGCAGCACAGTTTACATGTGAACCAGGATTCAGTTCCAGGCTATTACTCTTAAAACCCATGTACTTAACCATCAGGCTACTTAAGTTCCAGTTTGTGAGAAACATTTTGAATATATTATGGACAGCAGCTCAAAAAGTAGAATCAGTGAAGTTTTATCGGTGTTATTTTATAATATTATTGTATATTTAAATACCATGTTTTAAAATATATATTTTATTATAAAGGAATATCTTTTATATTTAAGGATATTGACTTTCTGGGTTTTTCCCCTCAGGTGGCTTAGATATAGATGCATTTCAAGATCGTGAGGAAGGCCGTGCAGGGCTGGATGATAACGAGGAGGTTATGCGAGCACTGCTCATTCATGAGAAGAAGACCCCCTCTGCTACTGCTGGCTCAGTGGGGGCGGCTGCTCCTGTGACCGCTGCCAATGGCAGTGACTCGGAGAGTGAGACCAGTGAGTCAGACGATGACTCCCCACCTCGTCCAGCTGCTGTGGCTGCACATCACCGAGAGGATGACGAGGAGGACGATGAGTTTGAGGAAGTAGCAGATGACCCCATTGTTATGGTGGCTGGTCGTCCATTCTCGTACAGCGAAGTGAGCCAGCGGCCAGAGCTGGTGGCACAGATGACACCAGAGGAGAAGGAAGCGTACATAGCAATGGGACAACGCATGTTTGAGGACCTCTTTGAATGATCTGTCCCTACATTTTCCTCCTTTCTCTAAAGCTCATTTCAAAAAGAAAGTACCTACCTTTGAAGAAAAGTATTTAAGTGGCTTTCTGCCCTTCTTGATGTAAAGTGACTGTTAATCTTGCGCCAAAAAAAAAACAAAAAACACTGGGAGAGAAAGATTGATTTTTATGACAGAAACTTTCCCAAAAGGTAGGTTGGCTACAAGCGTTCCTTTTCCCATTACTACTACAGTATTGCCATTTTACTGTATTTTCTTATCTAATCCTTTTCCTTTCCTTTTTAAGACACATTCTTCTCCCTTGTGAAATAAATAAGGGAAGTCTTAAGGTAAATTCTTTCTGTCTGCCTGCAGAAGCCCACTATGACAGGTTACAGTAATTCACTGATCACATTTTTTAAAAATCTATTCTGAGCCAGCATTCCAAACAATTCCTGGTATTGCTGCAAACCAAAGCAGCTTGCCAACAGCAAATCATTTGATGAGGGACAAAACAATCTTAAAATTCAATTGAGGATGATGTCAATAAGTAAGGGGAAGTTGGGAATGTGTGTGGAAGAGGGATGGATATGCCTAAATCTTATGATTAATATCTAAACCAAAATTTGTGTATTTAGAACTGACCTGACTGGAAGAGTCTATTGTTTTGCTTATTGCCTTTTGGTTTGTATGTTGGATGATAGAAAGCAGAAAGTATTTTGGTAAACTCTTATGAAGAAATTAGGAAAAAAACAAACATGAATGAAGGACCAGGAGTTCCATGTAAAGGGTTCAAAAGTGAAGAGCATTGAGAATAGTACCTTTTAGAATTGCCTGAGTTTGTGCTGATTTGGAAATCCTTTATAGAAAGGTGAGACTGGTCCCTTCCTTTTTCTCTTCTTCTACAGTGCTGTAAATTGTTTAATGAGGGCATTTCAGCAAAAATTAGCATGTAATAATTGATACTCCCCTCTTTTTCTCTCTCAACACCATTGAACGTCTTCTTGGTTTCTCTTTTGATTGTTGTCAGACATGGTATTATAGAGTACACCCAGTATATTGTTGAGCATTGTAACCTCAAGGAACATAGTTTATCATTTCAGTTCTGCTGTGTAGCATGGTATTATTCCCTAAGGCAGAACTTTAAAAGTAAGGAACTTTCATACAAGGATCTATAACAATTGTATATTTTGTAATATTTCCCCTTGCATTGTAAGTTTTAAGTATTTATCATTTTTTATAGTACATGTGTGTAGTTAAGGTAGATTTTAGAGTTATCTGAGCCTTATAGGAAGTGGTGTTTCATTTACATGGTGTATGAATGACTGAATATTAACAAACTATTTTATACTGACTAAAATTTGTTCATTTCCAGCTCTGTAACATCTTGGAACATAATTAAAATGAATATTCTTTGCATTAAAAAAGGTTTCAGACTTTGTTTTCTTATTAGTTATATTTTAAATAATAAATGCAGTTGTGTGTGGTCCAAACTTTTTCTGGCATTAGTTGACTTAAGAGTGACTTTTAGCCCTGACTGGTGTGGCTCAGTTGATTGGAGCATCATCCCATACCCAGGAAGGTGGTAGGTTTGACGTTTCTCTCTCTCTTTCTTTTTCTCTATCTCTGTCTCTCCCTTTTTCCCTCCCTCCCTTCCTCTTTTCCTTCTGCCCTCCCTTCCTCTCCCTTTCTCTCTCTAAATCAATGAGGAAAAAAAAAAAGAATGACTTTCATAATAAAGTTTCTATGAATGTTTCCCTTTGGAGGAAAAAAACGCACTACTATTTTGTATGTACTTTGTACACATGGACTATTCAACTTTTAAATATCTTTTTTAACTTTTATAGTTGTAGAATGAAGTTCACGTAAATAAAATAGTAATCAGATACAAAGTTTTAAAAACAGTTGTAGGTTAACTGTCATCTTTTTATTTCTCAAATAATAAATGTATTCACTAATTTTTCTTGAATCTGACTTGCATGTTCTTTCTAAAGCTACTATTCTTTTCCTTTCCCATTATCTACCAACTTCTTAAGTAATCATACAGACTAGTTACATACTTCTTTCATCTCCCTCTTGCTCTAGTTTTTGCCCTATTCCTACATAGAAACAGCTTTCCCCAGTCCTAATTGTCCAACCTAACAGCCCTTTATTCCTCAGCTTTTTTGGCTGCTTTTCATTATTTGATGCCATCAACTCATTCTTTCTCTTTGAAACGCTTTCATTTGATACCCTAGTCATTACACTGACTCATTACCTCATTGGCTATTCCTTCTCAATCTTTAAACTTCATTGTTTTTTTCTCTGCTGTATGTTTTGGCATATCTCGAGACCTAGTTCTTTTTTCCCTTCTCTCTCCTCTCTCTCTCTCTCTCTCTCTCTCTCTCTCTCTCTCTCTCTCTCCCCTTCTCTCTCTCTCTCTCTTTTTCTCTCTCTCTCTCCCCCTCCCTCCCTCTCTCCCGCTCGCTTGCGCTCTCTCTCTCTCTCTCTGAAATTTATGTAATGGGAAAATGTCAAAAGTGAAGACAAGCCCTGGCTAGGTAGCTCAGTTGTTTGGAACATCATCCCGTGCACAAAAGGTTGCAGGTTCAATCCCTAGTTGGGGTGCATACAGGAGGCAAGGTGAAGAATAAGTATATTCATTACAGCAGTGTATGAAATAGAATAGGTACATAGGTATACCAAATAGGCATTAATCAGGAATTAAATTATTTTTCCATGAATCATTTAGCCATTAAAAAGAATGTATTGATAGGAAAAGATATCCATAATGTGTAATTATAGAAGGATTCTGTTTTTCTGTCTGTGTGTGTGTGTGTGTAAAAAAAAAAGTAGCTAATATATGTGTTGAGACACTGACTTCTTTTTTTTTTAAATTTTTTTTTTATTGCTTAAAGTATTACAAAGGGTATTACATATGTGTCCTTTTTTTTTTCCCCGCCCTTAACAATCCCCTGGCCTCCCCTCCCCCCCAGTGTCTTATGTCCATTGGTTATGCTTATATGCATGCATACAAGTCCTACGGTTGATCTCTTACCCCCCTCCCTCCTGCCCCTCAACCCTCCCTGGCCTTCCCACTGCAGTTTGACAATCAGTTTGAGGCAGCTCTGCCTCTGTATCTATTGTTCATAAGTTTATAATGGTCTTTATTATCCATGAATGAGTGAGATCATGTGGTATTTTTCCTTCATTGACTGGCTTATTTCACTTAGCATAATGCTCTCCCGTTCCATCCATGCTGTTGCAAATGGTAAGAGTTCTTTCTTTTTTACAGCAGCATAGTATTCCATCGTGTAGATGTACCACAGTTTTCTAATCCATTCATCTACTGATGGGCACTTAGGCTGTTTCCAGATCTTAGCTATGGTGAATTGTGCTGCTATGAACATATGGGTGCACATATCCTTTCTGATTGGTGTTTCTGGTTTCTTGGGATATATTCCTAGAATTGGGATCACAGGGTCAAATGGGAGTTCCATTTTTAGTTTTTTGAGGAAACTCCATACTGTCTTCCATAGTGGCTGCACCAGTCTGCATTCCCACCAGCAGTGCACGAGTGTTCCTTTTTCTCCACATCCTCTCCAGCACATGCCGTTTGTTGATTTGTTGAAGATAGCCAGTCTGACAGGTGGAGACACTAACTTCTTTACATACGTTGACTCATTTAATCTTTATAACCTGTGAGGTAGATGTACGTATACAAAGATGTAAATAATTAGAGTTGAGAATTACAGTGGTCTTAAGTTATAATGGAAAAGATATTTTCATTTTGAAAAAAGAATCAAATAGACATTTTAAAAAGTTCACGTAGAAGGTACTTGGTAGAATTAAAGAAATAGAGTGACAGTGCTCATTTCAGCAGCACATATACTAAAATTGGAACAATACAGAGAAGATTAGCATGGCCCCTGTGCAAGGATGACACGCAAATTCGTGAAGCGTTTCATATTAAAAAAAAAAAGAAGAAGAAGAGTGACAAAAGTAAGCTTTTTATATTATTGCTAGGATTTTTAGGTGTTCCTTTTATAAATCCTGGATTTATCATTTCCTTAAATAAACATCTCTGAATTTATACTCAAAATTAATAGGGAAATATAGTTTAATATATAAAAATTTTGTACACTACCCCACATTTCAATAACATATCTAGTGACTCAAGGGAGTTTGATATTACTTTATCCAACAGGTTTATGGGTGTTGAGTGGCACAATAATCTGGTGAGAAAAGCCAATCAGTGACAGGATGACCAAAAATGGGAGCCCTCCCAATTAGCAGCTCTCAGAAGGGCAGACTCATGCACAAGGTTGGTTGATACATGTGGTCACAGTGTTGCTGACCTCGGGATATCTGGAGTTGTTACCACCCACAGCCTATGAGAATGGCCGGCAACTCCTCTCTGAGCGAGATTGGCTGTATTAGTATAACTCAAGTGTCAGCTACCCATGTGTCCCACTGTCCTTTAAGATTTAAATAGAACAGTTTTATCCTAACACCATGGGATACTTCTTCGGTATCATTTCTTTTGGGGAGTGTAGGGAAGGGCTTGGTGGTTTATATCCTCCTGCTCTGCCTCCCTGCTTCCCTGGCTTCTCCACCTCTCCTCTGCACCACCTGTACTGACTCCCCAAGTGTCCTCAATGCAAGTCTGTGTAACAGATCCTCACTGAAGTTCTTATAGTAATAGGCAGGGGACAGGCAATGAAAGGGTTTTTTGTCTCAGCATTGCATAGTCCAGGCATATAAGGGAGGATCATATACATTCTTGTTCTTAAAATGAGTCTCTTGCCATTCTCACAGAGTTCACCTCAAGTACAATCCTGACTTTAAATCTTGCTAAAATTTCGGCTCATTTTTTCCTTCTCTTCAATTACCTCTTTCTTTCCAAAGGCCTTGGAATGTTATAAATGTACTAGAGGCCCGGTGCACAAAAATTTGTGCACTGGCGGGGGGGGGGGGGGGTGGGGGGTATCCCTCAGCCCCACTTGTGCCCTCTCACAGTCTGGGACCCCTCGGGAGATAACGACCTGCTGGCTTAGGCCCGATCCCGGGTAGCAGAGGGCAGGCCCAATCCCTAGGTGCCTGCCCTGCAGCCCCTGGTCAGGCTCAGAGCAGGGCCGATTGGGGAGTTGGGGCACCGCCCCCTGTTATGCACAGAGCAGGGCGGATCACGAGGTTGTGATGCCACCCTCAGTCACGCTCAGGGTAGGGCTGATTGGGGGGTTGCGGCGCCACTCCCTGTCACGCACAGAGCAGGGCGGATCAGGGGGTTGTGGCGCCACCCCTGTCACATACAGAGCCGGCCGATCAGGGGGTTGGGGCGCTGCCCCCTGTCACGCACAGAGCAGGGCTGATCAGGGGGTTGGGGAGCTCCCCCCTGTCATGCACAGTGTAGGGCCGATGGGGAGGTTGCGGCTCCACCCCGTCACACACAGAGCAGGGCCCATGGTGGGGTTGGGGCGCCGCACCCTGTCACACACAGAGCAGGGCCGATC